ATCCGTGACAACATGGAGGACAAACTACTGGAGGTTGTGGATCCACGACTGGGCGGGTTGTACCCGGAGCAGGAGATCAAGCTGGTGCTGAGGCTTGGGCTGCTTTGCTCTCAGTCCATCCCTGAAGCGCGGCCAACCATGAGTCAGGTGACGCGGTATCTCGACGGCACCGACGGCCTGACAGATGATGTTGCGTTTGTGTTCTCAGAAGCCGATTCAATGGATTTGGCATCTCGGCTGTCGATCACTTCATCTTGGAGTGGTATGGGCTCTCGGTCACTCCATTAAGGGAACTGACAAAGATCTTGTGGTCAACGGCACCCACAGGGGCTGGGTCTCATAAGATGGGCTACGCGGGCTGAAACAGACCGCAGGGCCTCGACGATGCAATATGGGCTGGACCGCAGGGTCTCGACGATGCATACTGGGCCGGTTCACGCGAGCTAAGGTCTCCTGAGTTGGTCCATACGGATTGAATATTTATTTACAGAAGTAGATAGGCTAGTATTGATTGGATAATTTCCGATAATTAGAGGAATATCAATTATGATGATTAAATAATTTTTTAGTTCAATTTTGAAAATATAATATTAGTTTCCTCCATTAGGAAATAAAGAACTTATATTATGAAGTATTGTATCTCTGTTTACTAATGAGAGCATAAATCTATCATGTATCCATCTACGCTATAGTGATTAGTGTGAATACATACTTATATTATTTTATATAAGAGCATGAACGATATTTATCAAATGTCTAATTTATATACCAATGCTTCATGAGATGTATGCTCATGACTGATCAAATTTATAAATGATATTACATGAATGCATATTGTATGACTTGATCCTTGAATCATATACTTTTTTTGTACCACTATATATATTGATATTTGCCTTATATATCATATACATAGCTGATCATGTGCATGGTTTTTGACTAACATATTATTGTGGATCTTTCCTATATTTTAGTTTGTGGATAAAGACTTAAATCGATACGAACTACAATATTATTAATTTGGATTTAAAGATCTTAAGCATTTTGGGTTGGGAGTTTATGCCTTAAACCTTATGATTCATTAACTTAAAACTTATCACAAATCAAGTGAAAATATGGTCATTTGATTTTTCTTATATTCTTTCATGGTTTCCCTTTCATACATTTCACATCTGAAATGAAATGTTGGTCTCTTTGGCTTCCAGCTACCATATAAAACAAGTGTTCTGCAGGATTCCAATTTATTCACAGGAGCACCAAACCTGTCTCGAGTGCAAAACAAGACAATACAATAGTTTTTGTTTATGATAATTTGATGCCTTCGCTTAGCTTTTAGTTCCATTTTTCTTATACTCTTGTCCAAGATTAGGTGAATTGTCTCTGAGCTGTACTTCTTTTTCCCTCGTTTATAATAATTTGATGCCATCACTTAGCTTTTAGTTCCATTTTTTTTTAAATTATTACCAACAGTGCTAATAATTGTTGCTGGTCTTTTCTGCAGAATCTTGCGGAAGATACAATCTGGATAATTGACTATGAGTTGTGGACACTGTTGATTGCTTCAGCATTAAGGAAGCAAGCAAATGTCTACATCATGACATGGAGATCCATATTGTCATGCATCCTGGTCAATCGTAAAACATCATAGTTTGACAAGTCCTACATAATCCCACATCGAGAAAAACTCAAGCTTGTTATCTCCTGTTATAACTATAAATAAGGGTCTGGGTATTGAAGCCAGATACACCACAAGAAAAATATAATTGTTTGTTTTAGATTTAATTTCTATTAAGTCCGTTAAAATAGTTTGGATTTTTCTTGTTTAGTAGTTTCATATGTTTTAGGTAATTTCTAAGGTATTTATAGTTGTCCTTTTATAGTAGAGTTTTGCTCCTCCTCATTACTTCTTTATTTTTTTTTGCTTTATTATCTTTATTAGGTTGTCAAATTATCCTTGGTAAATTTTCAAGGGCAACTGAAAGCTCCCCTTCCACATCTTTTTCTCCTCCTCCTCTCCATCTATTCTCCAACTCTGGCCACCAAGTTCCTCTTTAATGGGTTCAAAGAAGCTGCTAATTTGAGCTTGGATGCCTCGGCCCTTATCACTTCCAATGGAATTCTCCAGCTGACCAATGGCAGCAAGAGACAGATAGGTCATGCCTTTCTTTCTTCTCCGGTGCACATGCTTCACAGACGATCCGTTGTCACCTCATTCAGCACAGCCTTCGTGTTCGAAATCGTCACTGTTAATGGCGGTGGCGGCGAAGGCCTGGCCTTTGTGGTTGCCACCTCCAAAACCCTGCCTGGAGCTCAGAATGGCCAGTTCCTTGGACTCCTCAGCACCCAGAACAATGGCAATTTCTCCAATCATCTCTTTGCCATAGAATTCGACACGGTGAAGGCCACTGGACCATTCAATGACATCGATAAGAACCATATCGGTGTGGACGTCAACAGCCTCGAATCAAATGTCGCAAAGCCCGCCGCCTATTACGCAGATGGTGGCAATAAGGTGTCCATAGAACTGCTGAGTGCGCAGCCAAACCAGGCCTGGATCAACTATAATGGTGTCACAGGCATTCTGAACGTGACCATCGCTCCGCTGCGGCTCCCCAGACCACGCCGCCCTCTCATATCGCACGCCATCGATCTATCGCCAATCTTCAAGGAGTACATGTACGTTGGATTCTCCGCCGCAACTGGAAATCTCACAAGCCACCACTATATCTTGGGTTGGAGCTTCAGCACGGATGGAGTCGGGTCGAGCCTCGATCCATCTCAGCTGCCCCTTTCAAGGCAAAAGGATGCATCACCAGCTTCAAGATTTAGGAGACTAAAGATCACATTGGGCGTTTTCTTTGGGTTACTGTCCTCTATAGCGTTGATTGCACTACTTATAAAGTCTATTAAGGATGGCAACTTTCTTTCATTCATTATGCTGGTAGCTCAAATTAAAGACAGATTTTCTCAATATGGTGATTGATACTTAAATTATAGATTGATTGAGGATTATAGTATGTAAGGAATATAGAATTATTATTCAATATTTGTTTTTGTCATGATTTTTATTAAAATTTCATTAAGGATGTTGAATTGATGCAATTGATGCAATGCGAGTGGAACAGTGAGTTGGAGTATAAGTAGGTGATATCGATATTATTATAATATATTATAAGAGTAAATTAGGATGTGATGTCTAGTTCGTGTAGTAGATTTGTAACCCTATTAAGTTCTGTAGTGGTGGTGACGATAACTTGGTATTCAGCTTCAATAGTAGATCTGACGATTGTGTTATACTGTAGGCTGATATAGATATTCTATCGTCAATATTGTTTGTTCAATCAGTATTAGCAAAGGCATAGAGATAAATAGATAAGTGTTTACAAACAAATTTATAATTAAGAGTACCTTTAAGATATTGTAGGATACGTTTTAGTGCAGGTGAATGCATAGTAAAGACCTGATGCATAAATTATAATAACTTATTAACTATAAATAAAATGTTTGAACATATAAAAAATAAATATAATAAAAAATCAAATACTTGTCGATATTGTGTGAAATATGTAGTAGAACTATCATTGACTCAATGAAGGAGAGTAGGGTGACAACTTCATTTATATTTTATATGTTGTTCTTTAGTAATAAATCTCGAATATAGTTCTTTTGAGATAGAAAAAGTCTAGAAGATGTAAATGTTGCTTCCACTCTTAGAAAATAATTTTAAGGTTCCTAGGTCTTTGATACAAAATTGATATGTTAATTGTCTAAAAAATTACTTGATCTCTATGAAATTTGTACATGTGATGATAATATTATCTATATAAATTAGTAAATATATAGTACATTCCTTTTATTATTATAAGAATAAAGAGTTGTCGGATTTGGAATTGATAAAGCTGACTAATATAAAAAATGAGCTAAATTTGGTATACTCTAGGAGCTTAATAAGGTTCATACGTAGCTTTTCATAGTTTACAAATATGGTTTAGATATTAAGGGTGGATGACAATGTTAAGGGGTTGCTATATTAAAAACATTTTGAGTCAATGTTTCATACAAGAAACCATTGTTAACATCTAGTTTGCATACATATAAATCTTGAGTAATAGCTAAACTCAAGATGAGTTGAATTATCGTCGATTTAACAATTAGACCGAATGTCTCTATAAAATCAATACTTGGTTATTGGTGAAACTCTTTGACTACTAAAAGTGATTTATATCTGGCATTGATCAATTTGGGTTTTGCTTAATTCAAAATGTCCACTTATACTTGATGATATTTTATGTGAGGTGACATAATACTACTAGTTACAAGTGCCCTAAAAGTCAATCACGTGAGTGATGACATGTGCATAGTCTTTTTGTTATTATTATTATTATTATATTATCTCATTTTATATTATCTGATTGATATATTGTGATGTTCATGGATTTGTGTAATAAGAATTGGATCATGATAAGATCATAATAATGAGACTAACTTGCCCGTAAACATATACCCTAAATATTCTCGGTCATATGTTACTCGAAAGGGATATCGAGATGACCAGATAGATCAGCGTACTATATACTCATCCATGTGATTGGGCAGTTGGTCTCATAGTTGCTTGTGTGAAGACACTGAGGATATAGTGCAAGTGTTTATTAGAGAATGAGTTCATTGAATAATCTGCTCATGGAATGCTAGATGGTTAATGATACATCATCATTAGATAGCGATTCCGTGATCCCAATTGTATGTCTGATCCTTATACTTAAGATACGAAGGATGCCCTATATGAGTGCTCCACTCTTTGATACTAGACTTATAGGTCTGAAAGTTTCAAATCTAGTCTAGTAGATCATTGAGAGTAGTAGTCAACCTTACGAGAGCAATTGAGTGTTAATAGAAGATCATCCATTCTCGGTGTCATGAGAGAAATATCATGTATATTTTCGCTCAAGAAAATCACTTGCTAGGGTCATTTGTATTGATAGAGAAAAGAGTTCTCTAGGAGAATCTGATGAAAACGAGACTCGAGTAGATTCTTTATAGGCTTGACAATAACATGCCTGATATATAATCTTTGGGATATTAGATGGATAAGGGACTGACAACAACTCGAGTAGACACACGATAACTTAGGGCAGACAAGTCCAATAAATTAGATCCCTCACACCATCTGGAGATTATGACATAGTAGCCTAGTATGTTTATAATCGATGAGTTGAGTGAATTATTATGAGATAATAATTTATTGAACTTGAAGGAGTTCTGATAGGTGCAGCTCAACGCCAGCTTAGTATTGAGTATGGAGGGTCATACATATATAGTAGATGACAAGACGAATAGAGGATTGAATATGTGATATCCAATAAACCCCTATTTTATTGGATCTATTGGGTGAGACCGAATAAGAGCTTAGAGTGAATAATTGGATAGAGATTCAATTTTCATTAAGCCAAGGATAATTGGATAAAGATCTAATATCCAATATGCTATGGTAATTGGATGGAGATCCAATACTAAATAAAACATGATCCATTATGGTTAACAGTAAGAGCTCTATATTAAAGGGTGTTGAATCTCGGATTTTGATAATGAAATCAATTGATGAAAATATGATCTAATGTGCATTTGAGTAACGCATGACTAATCTCGATCAAGGAAAGATAATTCGATTGATGTAGAAAGAATCAGATGTTGAGCTAGAGTAGAACATATCAGAAGATTAGAGTCGGACTAGAGGACTAGTCGACGTGCCGGAAGGACTTCGTATCATGAGTTCGAGCATCGAGCTGAAGGATCGAACATTGGGCTAAAAAAATCAGAAGTTGCGGGAGGTCAATATGCCGATTGGGTAATACGCCAAAGAAGACGACGATACGCCAAATGATCAGATGAAGTGTCAGATGAACCAATGATATGTCATATAACATAGAATTCTAGTCTTGTAATCGGTTATCTTAATTGGTCGTAGTTAGGTCATAATTGAGTTAGTTTTGTGTGTAATCATGCTAACTCAATTAGGGGTCCATTGGAATTGAGTTTGGACTATTTTGGGCCAAGTAGAAGGCTCATTCAATTATCCAAGATTAAGTAGAACCACCTATATGCCGAAAAAGTCAATAGCACATTTTTCCAAGCTGTCGGGAGGTGGTACCGCGTAGTGTCAGTGCTATAAGCGATGGTACCGCCCAACCCAAGTAGTGGTACCGCTAAGACCCGAGATGAGACCTTTTTGGCTTCATTTTTTAAACCATTTGGGGTCTATAAATACCTTAGCTATTCCTGCATAGAGTAGCATGAAATTGAGTAGAAAGAGGAGAAAGAATACTTGAGAAAAAAAAATTGGAAACTCTATTATTATTTAGAGTTTTTTCCTCGTAGAGTTGGAAGTTTTCTAAGAAATGAGTGAAATTTAAAAGAGAGGTGTAAATGTTTTCTCTTTAGCTTATGAAAAGAAGAAAGAGTTGTAAGGATAGTTGATCATCACTCGTTGAAAGAAGATCAATAGTAAACTCACCGATGTAGGAACTCCCGTCCTGCCCACCGATCCACTCTCCAGTGTAGCTGTCACTGCTGTAGAATTTGTACACCTCGAAGCCATGCCGCAGCCCCACCTGTACTACCCCTCGGTATCGACTGCCCCGCGCCCAACTCTCGATCCTGCACCCATTGTACTTCCCATCGATCCAATCGCTCTCTTACCGCCCCTTGACGAAGAAATTGTAGACGCCGCTTCTGTTGCACCGTCCCTTGCGGAACTCACCCTCGTAGTAATCCCCATTGCTATAGAACACGACCCCCTCGTGAATGATCCTCCCGTCGGTCTTCCTTTCCTTCTGATTGTCATCGTTGCTGATGAACCAGTCGATGGAGGAGGCTCGACAGGCAGCATCCCCGCCACCGCTGGAGCATCGATGAGCAAATTACGTCACAGTGGAGACGAGGGCAAAGATGAGGATGAGGTTGGCGAAGCACAGGGAATCATCCCGGAGGTAGAGGAAGAGGAAGAAGATGAACACAAATGAGAGGGAGAGAAGGAGGAGGTCGCGGTAATGGCTATGGGGGTTATGGTGAATAGGATGGTGGGGCTTCTCATCCTCCTTATCAGCTACAGTGGTGGAGGAAGGGAGGATCAAGCCGTGGGTGAGCGGAGAAGGGAGGATTATAATATGTAAGGTGCTAGTCATAGGTGCCCAGCAAGCCAATCACGTGAGTGATGGCACGTGTGACTTGATACAGAATCTTTTTGCATATTATATTTTGGCGTATATCACTTTATAACTATTGCAT